GGCAGCTGCTGTCAGCCAGTCTCTGTCTTGACTGGGTCCCGATCTGAGCTGGGCGTGGGAAGCGAAGCAGCCATGGGTGCAGGAGACCTCCCTCAGAAGGGGTGAGGGTTTCAGGCCTCTGCAAAGTTGGGGGGGTGAAGGTCTGTGCCCCACCTCTGTTGACCCCCAAGTTGTCTTCTGATGGCCCCTCTGCAACTGTGCCTGTCTTAGGTTGTTCCTTCCCTGAGGAATCTTACATGTCTCTGGCTAACCAGCCATCCTCCAGGGCCAAGCAGGGTGATGTGAGGTGTGCGAATGAGGGAGGGGCAGCGCCCCCCTGCAAGAGGTTCAGTTCTGTCTCCTTGGTAGCCTATGCCCCCGTGGCCTCCACGCCCAGCACCTGCCTTGGGCTCCCCTCGCCTGCTGGCGGGGCCCCAGCTCTGGTCACATCTCTTAGGGAACCCAGGTTTCTTCTCCAGGGAGGGCCCAGCTCACACCATTGGGCGAGAGACAGATCCATGGCACCAGCTACCACGAGGCCTCAACTTCAGCGTGAACAGAAAGCCCAGGCAACAGCTGTGGGCAAATGGACTGTGAGAAGGGGGTCCCTCTTGACACAAGGGCAAGAGGGGCCAATACTGGACAAAGGAGAGTCCTGGGACAGAGCTTTCTCAGCCCAGGTTGTCAGGCTCTTGGCACAAGACAACTCCACGTATGGGGCATATACCAGACACCCCAGTCAAGGCAGAAAGTAGGGTAGGAAGATTCTGGAAAAGGCTGTGTTCAGGAGAGAAGGAGAAAGGCCAAAGAACCAGCAAACAAGTAGTCAGATTTAAAAAAAAAAAAAAAGGAAAGGAGATGTGGGGCAAAGCTGGGACATATGGACAGACGAAAACGAGGCACATGTGATCCTCCCAATGGACAGGTTGTTCCAGCTCAGGACTGCACATCTGCTGCAGACGGGCACTGTTCAGGTGTGCTAGGGTGAGGCGGAGACGGGGGGCGGTTAGACATAAGGTCGGACTAGATCAGGGGTGGGCAAACTTTTTGACTCGAGGGCCACAATGGGTTCTTAAACTGGACCGGAGGCCGGAACAAAAGCATGGATGGAGTGTTTGTGTGAACTAATATAAATTCAAAGTAAACATCATTACATAAAAGGGTACGGTCTTTTTTTTTTTTAGTTTTATTCATTTCAAACGGGCCGGATCCGGCCCGCAGGCCGTAGTTTGCCCACGGCTGGACTAGATGGTCTGGAATCCACACAGGTAAGGCTGTTCGGGCGCCATCTGTTGGGGTCCAACCCCAGCAGGTCCAGGGGTCCCCAAAGGTGTGGACAGAGTCGGCGAAGAAGGAATGACATGGAGACAGGGTTCAGTTGATCAGCATAGCGAGGTTCTCTCACCAGGTTCTGTCCAGGATCTCCAGCCAAGTTCTGTTTTCAGAAATTTTTTTATTATTAATTTTAATCTCTTTACTTGTTATAGGTGTATTCAGATTTCTTGTTGTGTCAGTTTTGGTAGTTTGTGTCTTTCTTGGAATTTGATCTAGGTCATCTAGTTTGTTTGTTTGTTTTCAAATTATAAGAGGAAGTTTATTTAGATAATTACAGAGGTTGTAGAAGTGAGCCAGCTGGGCTGCATAGGCACAGGAAACAAGTTACAGAAGCAAAAGAAGGGCCCTTGAGCTTAGGAGAGAGAAAGGCAAAGGTAACATGCTTGGGGAGAAGAAGAGGAAGAAAGGAAAGGCATGGGTGTGCTTCTGCGAGGGAGAGTGTGCCTCTTCTAGGTTATCTAATTTGTATAGTCATTTTTATTTCAATCTTTTTGGTAGTAATGTTCCCTCTTTTACTCCTGATTTTAGAAACTTGAGGTTTCTCTTCCCTCTCCCTGCCTTGATTAGTCTACCAGTGGTCGGCAAACTGCGGCTCGCGAGCCACATGTTGCTCTTTGGCCCCTTGAGTGTGGCTCTTCCACAAAATACTGACTTCTGCACATGGGCCACGAAGTTTCAATCGCACTGTACGTACGCGCCCACACGTGGTCTTTTGTGGAAGAGCCACACTCAAAGGGCCAAAGAGCCACATGTGTCTCGTGAGCCGCAGTTTGCCGACCACTGTTCTAGCCAAAGGTTTGTTGATTTTGTTAATCTTTTCAAAGATTAACTTTTGGTTTCATTGATTTTTCTCTGTTGTTTTCTATTCTTTATTTCACATATTCCTGTTCTAATTATTAGGGGCAGAAATAGAATATTGGGGTCTAGCTATAATTATAAGAAATATTAATCATGCTCTGTTAACCTGATTGTTCTGTTCTGATTAGAAAAAGCACATTCTAACCTGGCTGAGAGTTGCATGCCCTGGGACATGGGAGCTAACATTGGAATGTAATCCATCCTCCTTTCCTGGGAGCTGTCTATCATTATGGAAAGATTTACAACCTCATGGCTGAAACAGTCTAGTCCTAGCGGCACCTACCCTTTGCAATTCCCCCCACCCACCCCCCAGCCCCTATTGCCTGTAATCTTGTCCCAGGGGTGCCTGGAGGCACCTGTTCTTTGCTACTACCCCCAGCCCTATTGCCTGTAACCATCATAACTTGCCTACTTTCCCATGCCTGTAATTCTTACTTTCCAATGTAATCTTTGCCCCTCTACCCAATATAAGCAGCTGGTTCATGAGGAGGGTAGAACAGATTTTTGTGGACGACCTGCTGCTCTCCCATCCTGCTGGCATTATTGGAATAAACACTCATATATGATTCAACCCTGTTTCTCTTCTGAAGTGGCTCAAATAGTGACAGGCAGCCCAGGCCCCTTGGTTGTCCTGTTACATAATCAGTATTATATCCTTCCTTCTGCTTCCTTGTCTTTTTTTTTTTTTTTTAAGTTTCTTAAGGTGAACGGTTAGGCTGTTGTTTTAAGGTCTGCCTTTTTAAAAAATATAGGAATCTATAGCTGTAAAATTTTCTGCATCTCCCATGAGTTTGATATGCTGTGTTTCATTTTTCATTTATCTTGAAGTATTATCTAACTTGCCCTGTGCTTTCTTCTTTGACTTAATTTTTTTAAGAGTGTGCTGTTAAATGTCGACGTATGTGTGGATTTCCCAAATTTCCTTCTGTTGTTGATTTCTGATTTCATTCTATTGTGGCTAGAGAACATACTTTGTAAGATATCAGTCCTTTTAAATGCACTGTGCCTTGTTTTATGGCCTAAGATATGGTCTATTCTGGAGAATATTCCATGTGCACTTGGGTTGTTATACACTTTGCTGTGATTAGATGGAGCAGTCTATAGATGTCAGGCTAGTTAGTGTACAATGTTGCTCGAGTCCTCTTTTCTTTTTTAATGATTAATCCCCCTAGGGTGGCAGCACCTCACCCTAGTACTCGATTATGCTTGGTTATCTGAGTCCAGAACCTCCATAGAGAGGGATAGGTTTATAACTATTGTTTATATAGTCTTTGATACAATTCCCTTGTTTTTGACTTCTTTCCTTACCCCCACTGTTGTGGTACCCGGTGCTTCACATTCCTGAGCCTTTCTGGGGTTCTGCTTGGCTGACTGGCTTGCTTCTTTTTACCTTCCCCTTCAGTAAGCATTTTCTATATTCTGTGTAGTCAGTTACCACTGATCTATCTTTGCCTCCAAACTTAAAATATTATGGTTCTGGGTTACAGATATCAAAGGCAGAGTTTCCTTTTTTTATTCTTGTTTTGGAACAATTTCAGAAAAGGAAGGAGACAGAAACATCTTTAGTCTACCATCCTAAAACTGGAAGTTTGTTGAGTTTTTCTGAATAATGTGGTTTATTATCTCACTGGATAGTTTCAGCTACAAACTGCTGTAATGACTTTGATATCTTTTTAAAAAATGTTTTTAATTTATTGACTTTTAAAGAGAGAGAGAAAAACATCAATTTATTGTTCTAT